TCCTAATAAGGTTTCACTGTTTAATCAATGGCCACATTTTCACAGACCTGCAGGATAAGATGCCACTGAGTGAGCGACTGTCCTCCGTCCCTGTCCTGTCTTCTCGCCCTGCCTGAGCGACCTTTGTAAAATGGCAGTAACATGAAGCCCCCCAGGAATGTCTGCAGAGCACGTTTTTGGGGTGGAGTGGGAGGAGCTGGGGGGGAACTGTCTTCCCGTGCTCTGAATGTGGGCCCAGGGGCTGTTTCCCATTCAGTGCTGGCAGTGTTTGATCCCCTGGTCCCACGGGGCTCTGTGGATGTGCACACTCAGGCGAAAACCTGCAGAGCCAGCCAATCGGGCCATTATTTGGTTCATATAACTTGTTAAAATCTCACGGAATGTATAGCGTGCCATTGTTTTTGTAAGTCCCTTTCATGACTTTGTTCGCTGGCTAATTCAGAGCAGACTGGCCTGTTTCACTGCTGGAAGAAAGGACTTTCCTCAAAGAGGGCTATTTAACTGTGACCATGGCTGTGGCCATCTTGAGCACAAAGGGGACCTGAGTCCCGCCGCCCCCACCCAGGGCTCCCACAGCCCAGCACTTATTCTTGGCGCTGGAATTCGCATAATTACTCCTCTTTTAATCTGCTGGGTGACCTAATGTAGCCCCAGCCGGCCGCCGATTACAGGAAACGGCCTTGCTGAGATCTGAGCCTTGGACAGCCTGTCAAGTCTGTAAGACCCTCTCAGAAAGAGCATTTTTGGAGAGTTAACCCCATAAAGGACTGATGTCCCAGTCGCCCTGGGGTCCGGGGCCACGGGCGTGCACCCTGGAGGAAGGAGAAGTCAAAGGGTGCTGGTCGCCTCTCAGGACAGGCTCCAGTCCGGTCCCTTCTCCTCCTAACCTGCAAGGCAAGCCCAGAAGCTGCAGATCACTTCACAAAAGCTCACAAGAGGTTCCAGCAAGAGTCCATCAGGGCTGAAGACAAAAGAAAGGATATTCCGCACCAGGGAGCTCGCGGGAACAAAAGGCTGCACTCCGCCCTGACCCTTGCTAACCGCAAGCTCTGCGCAGTTCACAGCCTGGCCTGGAAGACCTTCTTGCTGCACCTCGGCTGATGTGAAAATACGGTCTTCCCAATGTCTTCTCTGTGCTGTTATTGCTACATTTACCAATTTGTCTTTCTTAAGGACAGTTTATTTTAAAACGTAAGAAAATCTATAATAAACATTTCTTCTAAAAGAAAAATCATGGGGGCGGGGGAGGGGATAGCTCAGTGGCAGAGTGCGTGCTCAGTCCCCAGTACCTCCATTAAACAGAAAAGAAAAGAAAAATCACAAATCTATAATAAAGTTTTCTTTAAAAAAAAAAAAAACACCCAGCTCTGCTGTAGCCAATCACCTCCTCCCATTAAAAAATACTTTTTAAAGCCACTCTCAGAAAAGAGACTATTAACATAATTGTAAGGCTTGTATGTGAAAAAGCCAGAAAGAGCTAGAATCTTTAGCCTAAAAGGAACATAGGTATAAAGGGGAAGAAGATAGGATATAATACAAATTTATAAAATTGAGTGTGTGGGGGGAGGGGGGCAGCTCCTGAAGGTTAAAGAAGTGGCCTCAGGAGAAATGCAAAGAAGGAGAAAGGGTGAAAATGGAAGCAGGTTTCACAGGTTCAAGAAGGGGTCACAAAAGTGACAGCATAATGGGTCCTAACAGCCGATGCAAGAGTGTTAGGGGTAAAGCTCCGTCTTTTGAGGTAATATGACGGATGGACAATTATTATCGGTCACATCTTTGCTCTTACTGTCTCAGATGCTACATGAAATGCCATCCTTGTTCCAATAAAGGTGGTAATTTTGTGATCAAGAATGAGAGGTTAATGAACCACTTACCACTTGCTAAAACCCTTCCCCTCCCCCCCCAGCTTATCACAGACATGGGGGGCCCTAAAAATGTTAAACCCTCCCCCTGGTTTTCTAGTTGTGGGAGGATGGAACCCACAGAGAGAAGGTGGTGAGTCCAAGGTCGCACTGATAATTAGACCAGAGCGTGGACCAGGCTCCCCTCCCTGGAGATCCTCGGCGCCCGTGTCACGTGGAGTCTCCTACTGGAATGCTATCTGCGAAGGGTGACACACTGAGCTATTATCATGCATATACATTTTAGCACAACTATTTCATCGAATGTTTTAAGCACTTACCTGACACAGGTCTAGGAAACCAGACGGAGTAAGTACGCTTTAAAGGCGGTAAAAATACGGCAAAAGCCAAACAGAGGCGGTAAGCAGGTAAAGCAAGTCCAGATTTTTGCCCAGGGCTCTTTCCTCTAAAAGCTATTTCCTCTGTTAAAAAAAAAAAGGTTGGTTTTATCTGGCGCAAGGTATGCTAGGTGCGCGCAGGAAAATTCCAGGGCTGTACCGAAGTCAGCAACTTAAGAGCAGGAGGAAGGTGCAGCTGCGCGAAGAAGCGGGCTCCTCCAGACGCGGTGACAGAGAATCACTTACGTTTGATTGCAGAAACGATCACTTGATTATACACAGCAGTTAAAATCACACCTTCAAAGATGATCGTGTTTTTAAGGCACTGTGTGGCGCGGGAAATAAACATGGAGAGAGGAGGGGTCTAGGGACACAAGGAAAAGGCAGAAAAAGAAGAGAAAGAATAAACAAAGTTCCCCTAATAGTCAAAGAGACAGAAACAGTGGCGAGTAAGATCCCCGAATCCCAGGATTCTTTGGATCTGCTCGCATTTTCGCACCACATCCCAGCATGGAATTCAGCACTCAGGGAAAGGAGGTGCTGTTGCGGGTGAGCAAGGGCCCCAAGGCTCCCGCGCCAGGCACACTTCCCCCGAGGCCTCACGCAGACCAGCTCCTCGTCGCCTAGCAACCCCGGCCGGGCCCCCTTTCACGCCGTATCGATGCGCAGCAATCCAACTACGGGCAGCGTTGGGAGAACAGAGTGCAAACTGGACAGGATTGAACTGCGGATTCATTCTCTGCCCAGCTCTCTCCTGCCACAGCATGCCAGCCCCCTCACCCCACCAGTCATGGGGTTGGCCTCAGTGCCTCCTCTCCCCGAGACCCAAGGAGGCAGGGGCGGTCCCGGACGCCTCTCCTAACCCGGGTACTGGGAAAACCAGGTGAAGACGGTTAGAAAGTCTCCCATGGGAAGGAGAGCCCTGGGACTGCAGCTCCCTACAGGATGGGAACGGATGTCTGCTGGCCACAGCTGGTGCATCTACTGCCGAGGTGAGATCAGTCAGAGATCCCACGGTCCCCACGCTGAGGTCACAGTGAACTACTAAAAATCTGACTCTCCCAGAAAGGGCTCTGCATGACGCAATATACTTACACAGAATCTCTGCTTCCCTCCAGGCCCGAGAGGCACGACGGATACATGGGGATTACAGGGAAGAAACGGCTCAAAGCTAGGGGACCAAACCACATCCATTTTATCCACAACTCTCACCTCCCTCCATTATCCTTAGCCACCCTCCAGGCACCAGCTGGCACTGATTTACGAGGCATGGACTGGGCAGCAGGGCTGGAGGGGGAGGCCAAGTCAGAAACGCCATGATGGGCCTACACTGGCCCCAAGACGACTGGCACGGGGGTCCACTCGGACCCTGAGGACCAAGGCTTCTATGAACGTGCTTTCAGAGCTCCAGTGCCCATGGAGGCAAATGAAAATCCCAACATTCACTCACAAATCCAAACCAAGGGCAAAGTGAGGAAGAGGAAGAGAATGTGCCGCATCTACGAAGGACACAGATTTCGTCTGTGAAGCTCTGACCAGATTCTGACGCGGCGGCCCTGCTGGTTCAGGGTCACACCTTTGCTGCAGTGAAACTACAGTTCAGCCTCAGCCTGGGTGTGAGGGGGGAGAGAAAGCCACCTCCATTCCAACAAGCTTCATGACGTGGTTCTGCCAGAGTTTTCTCCTCTAGCAGACGCTCCATCTTCCGGTCTGAAGAGAAGACAGGCCAAAACCCTGGGGCAGCCACAAGCACAGCACAAAGCAACAGACCTAAAAACTCCAAAACTGAGGCGCTGACCTTGGAGTGATGAGGACGGAATGTGACTCTGAGGAGGCAAGAGCCTTAAATCCTAAGTTGCGCCATGATTTCTCCTAAAAATTCATGATATATTTTGTCATGACAAATCAGAGTTCTCTTTTCTGTAGGAGGTACCAGATGTAACTACAGTTCTCAAAAATAAAATAAAGCAAACACGCACACCTAAAAAAATGGGAAGTGGGGGGCAGAAGGAAGAAGTGAAAAGCATCTTTTCTCTCTGCTCAGAAGGGAAACGTTGCTTAGAAGCTCTGCATATTTAGACGCACTGAATGTCAGCCCCACCGGAAGGTAAAGCATCACACGGCTCATGGTGCCAGGTCCGCTGAGCGAGAGGCTGGCTGCTGAGTGGGAAGGGGGGCGCGGAGAGCCTCGGGGAGCCTCCAGTCCTCCTCTGAAGATAAACACAGGCGTGCAGCTCCTTGTGTACTATCTCAAAACCCAAGCGCTCTGAAAACTGAAGTTTTTTAAGTAACTCATTTGGCACGAGGACAGTCCTGACCTCATCTGGTGACAAAGTGCCACCTGAACTACAAAGAAATCACCTGCAGTCTACTTACCCGTCTGTGTGAATATTCTTACATTTCACTGCTGAAATAATGAGTCTGATTTTGGGATGTTGGACCCCAGACCCCTTTGGGGGTGTTTTATATATATATATATATACGTAGCATGTTACCTTTCTAAAAAAGTTCTGAATTTTTAAAACACATCTGGCTCCCAGGGTTTCAGATAAGGGGAAGGAGTCTGTAAACCCGTAACAGGGTGATGTGAGACCCCTGCAAGATTGCTCAAAGCCCAAAAGAGTCAGTTACTTCCTGGCGGTTCCAGGCCAACCAGCTTCCTACGCAGCCCAGACAGCAACGTTACTTGGCAATGCCGTGTCAGAAATGGGAGATCTGTTACCACGGGGTCCCCACTACATGTTGAATCCTGGTTTCCTACCTTCACATATTCCAGAGTTGGGTCCAGAAGAGGCTGGTCCCTGAAAAGAGAAAATACGAACATGAGAACAGTTAGGAACAACGCATTCTTACATTGAGTAAAACGTATCCAACATCATTCACCCTGTTTATTCACATTACTAAGATGGGCCCACCTCCCAGGCCATGCCCGCAGCAGACAGATAAGGAAGTTCGAGCAGACACAGATTCCTTCCACGGTGTGGCCGGGAGGTGGCGTGGGAAGCAGGGTTCCACCATGACCTCAGTCGACGAGCGCCACGGCCTTCGCTGTCAAATTCCAGCTCCAAATGTTAGACTACTTATATGTGGCGATCTAGATTCATCTGTGCGTAAAAATTAGCCTAAAAGTCTAGAGCAGAGCCATGAGGAGGAGAGGGTGGGGGTAAAGCAGGACTGGACGGCCGAACCTGAGCACTGTGGACCAGGCGCTGTGTCGCACCCACTCCGACAGAGAACGCGGCTCAGGTGGGCGGGTCGGCTGCACAAGGTCACCCAGCACCTGGTGAGTGAGTCTGGAACCCAGCTCTGCTTCTAAACCATCTTTCTCTTTGGTGTCAGGCTGAGTAGTTTACCCCAATTTTCTCTGTGGCCCCAGTGTCATCTCTCCCCCCATCTAACGTCCGCTCACGCCCATCATAACACTACGTGAGACTTAGCCGGACAACGAGGAGTGAACAGCGGCAGCGGCACCGAGATGACAACATTACAGTGGGAGAGGATCTAAGGCAAAGGAGAGGAGGGTGAGACACGGGAGCTGCGGTTTTCAGCCCCGGCAGAGCTACAGAGAGGTGTCCCCCTCAGCAGAGGATGTGAAAAGACAGCTGCCTTAGGAGACTTACTCTTCACAACATCAGCACACACACCCCCACCCCCGAGATGAGATGATTTCTTAAAGACAGAATGGCTCAGAGCCTGGAGGAGTGGTCTTCTCGCGGCCGGCAGGGGTGTCGGTGTATCTATAAGGAAGGACTTGTCCCTCAGAAGGCGGGGGATTCCCACCGACAAGCAGCCACCTCCAGGGGGGTGAGCTCAACCCCCAGACCCACGGGGGGTTGGATGCTCCCCGCTACGGAGAGACCTCAGGAGACGGCAGCACCTCTCCTGGGCAGGAGCAGCAGGACCCCTGCTGGGGCACAACGAGTCGACCCCACAGCCCAGGAGCAGGTCATCTTGTAGTGAGGTGGTTCCAGGCCCCAAAAGCAGCCCACTTAGGGCTGCCCACAGGGCACACGCACACACAGGGCACACGCGCACACAGGGCACATGCACAGGGCACGTGCGCACAGGGCACGCACACAGAGGCAGGCTGGCGTCCGAGATGCTCTTCCCAGATGTGTAAACAGATTAGATTCTGAAACGAATCCCTTTATAAGCCACAGGATCCGAGAGAGGCTTGCGCTCACGGTCCCTGGTGCATCGCCGTCGAAGACGGGTATGAACCAGTCAGTCTTCCACAGGCTAAGACCAGGCGGACCCCGCCTTCAGGCTGGCGCTGTGTATCGGGCATCTTTCCCAACAGCGCCGAAGTCGGCTGTGCTGGGTCACCGCCTCTCCTGCCGCAGTCTGGACGTTGCGTCGATGGCACTAGGCTTTGCAGCCATGGGACCACCTGGCTAGTGGCTAAAATCTGCCTTTGGTCAGGAGGGCTTTGGCCATGTTCCCCGTTAAGTTCTCAAACCAGCTTTCTACTAAATTAATATTTTCGGCTTATGAGCACCAGTCTTAGGCTACTCAGCTGGCCCAGGGGTCTGGCTCTGGGGGTGCAGAAAGGTGCGAGAGCCACTGCAAGGCTATGTCTCCTCTTCCTCAAATTTCTATTTTTACGTCTGTTCTAAAATGCCCATTCCATCTATTCACACACAGTACGTCAGTGCGTGGGTAAACAGCGCGTACGTGCGCTGCTCAAAACGAGGATTCGGCCTTGGTCTCTCTACTACACTCCAAATAACTGAGGACTCTGAAGGGTTTTGTTTATGCGGGTTATGCCTACTGATTACCGATATTAGAAATTAAAACAAAAATTTTTGGAAGTTATTAATTCATATTTTAAAATTAAATTCATTATATATTTACATAAACAACATTTTAATGAAAAACAGGTATGCTTTTCATGGCAAAAATTTAGTGAGAAGAGTGACATTGTTTTACATTTTTGTAAAACTTTCTAATGTCTGGCTTAGGAGGAGACGGCTGACTTCTCATATCTACTTCTGCCTCCAGTGTGTTGTGATACATCGTGGTTGAAATACATGAAGAAAGCCCGCCCTCGTGCAGTTACGTAATTGGAGAGGGAGGGATATCTTAACAGACTTTTCATGTAATTGTGGATGTTCTACTTTGGTAACATACCCAAACTTGACAAGTAGTGGTTCCTCAAAGGTTAGCTGGGATGTGGGATCTGAACCCGTATCTCTTACTCTTTTGAATCTATCTTATACTCTGAATGGACCTTTTGTCCATGTGTGATTCCGTGACCACTGTTCTGGAAAATACTGGTTCACTGAGTTATGCAGGTCTTCCAAATTCTGACCCGTTATGTTATAAATCACATTTGTTAATATCATCACTGATCTCACCAGAAGTTACTAAGTATTGGGAATTGTTGAGCTCACGGTAAAGGATACAAAGTCTTCTAAAATTCTGTTTTTCACTTGAAAGCTTGAATTTTTTCATTGGCAACTAACATTGTCTAATATTTTCCCTGAGCTTCATTTCATTCATTGAGGAAATATCTGCCAAATACCAACACCACATAGTCATGATCTGCGGCTTTTTGGTGCTCAAATGTCATTCTTCCAGTAAACTTTTAAAATTTTGTTCAAGATCTGCTCTCTCACCAGATTTTGCTGTAAAATCCCTTTTTCCTTTCAGCTCTTGAAAGCTGGAACATTCCCCTCTCCCTTTCTCTAGAGATGTACCTGAAAACTCCGAGCTAGTTCTCTCAGGACAGACCCCTCCAGCTCTCTTGGGAATGGGGTGGGATCACCGACAGGGACCAGACCAGCCTCCGTGGCGGGTGGCTCCTGAGGCAGCCCCGGCTACAGTCACAGGGTCCCCACTCAGAGATCGAGTCCCCTCGAGGCAGGGTGACTCTCCCCGTGCTCTCCCCACCACTCTGCTCTCCCGCCCAGAGACCCCGGCACCCAGGTGCCCGGGGTGTTCTCCCAAATGCCCCCCCCGCCCCAGATGAATTCCCATCTTCCTGTTCCATACTCCACCACACACACTTTTCTCGGCAGAAGGGAGGGAAAGCAGGAGGTGCTGGTTAGGGATAAAACTGAAATCCCCTCTTGACCTCGCCCCCAGAAGAACTCTGCTCAGGGAGCCTCGTTCACGCCCTTGGGCGAGCAGGGGGGGAAGCCCAGCGTCCTCAAGTTCTAGCTCAGGGCTCCCCAGCGCTCTAGTTCAAGGTGCGCCCTAGTGGAGCCTTGCCATCTTCTGATCACCCTTTTCATAGAGGCAAGGGAGGGGAGACAAGGAGCGTACGACAAAACCGAGTGAGTGTGTTATAAATCCAAAAGCTTTAAAACCACTGCCATGAACCAAATTAAAATTGTATTAAAATGCAGAAGTGCTGTGTCTCCTTTCTCAGCCAGCCTAACCCGAACCCTAATCTAACCAGAAAGAAGACGTCAGCTAGAAAACATAACAGCTGGCTCTGTAGCCCCAGCCTCTAATTTGAAATGGAATATCCAATTATTCCTGCAAGACCATGCAGCAAATACTCCTTAAACCACATCTTTATATTCTCCAGCAGAGATCACTAGAAAACAAACAGAGAAACTTGGCAACATAAATGAAAAGGTTTTACATCTTTTTTTTTCCTTTTGCTTGTGCCAATTACGAATCCCCACAAAGTGAATCCACGATGCTGTGTATGGCTCTGTAACTGGAGGGCCTGGCAGGCGCCCACGCCCCCATCAGGCCCGCTGGCCTGCAGAGTACCGCCCACAGACCGCGGGAAGCAGCGAGATGAAACTGGACTCTCCTGTTATTTTGTTCTTAAGTTTAGTAAGTTTGAAATCACAGCACTGTGTTCACCCCGGTCAAATCATTCTTTCCAATGTCACACTTTCTCAAGTTCATACTCAGGGAGGTCCAGTTGGGAGCTAGTATATATCTGCTGTTTAGAGTTAAGAGGTTCTCCATCTTGAATACATAAACAAGATTTCACTAACATAGATCTTTCCTGAGCTATACCCCCAGGCCTTTCCTGAGCAGTTTGAACACAGATGGAGATGGAAGCGCCCTGTGTCTGTCTTAAATTATAGGCTGTTTTAAGTGAGTGGGTGTTTACTTGCTTAAATATTATAGAATACGTCAGTGGCTAACAAACAATGCTGGCACACAAACGTCCTTTGGGATAAAACAAAAAGGATCCCGCTTGTAATAACATGATCATCGCACACAATGGAGGGATGTGAGAAATTAGACCCAGCTCTCCCAGACCGAGCAGGCTAGCGGCTCCCCTTAAACTCCGTGCACACTAGTGAAGTGCGGAGTTGGCACACTTCCTCTGTGCACATGGTGTGGTGTCTGCACTCCAGGTCACGGTGTGTGTCTTCATGGATGCATGGCTTCTCTCACTTCGAGGTGAGCAACCCAAGGGGAGCGACGTGCCTGCTTCATGCCCAGTGCGTCCCGCGGTTCTTGCGTCCATCCACAAACACTACCGAGCATCTACAATGCACCCGCAGCTGGTCAGACAAAGGCACCACAACCAAAGACAAAGGCCCTGCTTCCAGAGAGGTTGCAGGCGAGTGGGGAAGACGGAGCCACATATCCAACCCAATCTGAGTGAGTGAGGGAGTGTCCGTGGGAGGGGAAACCCCATGGAGGGGCCTTTTAGACAATGTCTGAGCTTAAGTTTGAGGGCTGAGTAGGAACCTGTCCCAGTGAAGTGTCTGTGGGGTAGGTGGTGATGAGAAATGCCCAGGGAATGAGAGAAACATGTGACAGTTTGGGGGAACCACAAGCGTTGAGGAGCTAATTTCACTCTAGTCCAGGCCACCACCATCTC